AGGTCAGAGTTGTGTGGAGGAGGAGGAGGTCAGAGAGTGTGGAGGAGGAGGAGGTCAGAGTGTGTGGAGGAGGAGGAGGTCAGAGAGTGTGGAGGAGGAGGAGGTCAGAGTGTGTGGAGGAGGAGGAGGTCAGAGTGTGTGGAGGAGGAGGAGGGTCAGAGTGTGGAGGAGGAGGAGGAGGTCAGAGAGTGTGGAAGAGAGGGTCCGAGTGTGTGGAGGAGGAGGTCAGAGTGTGTGGAGGAGGAGGAGGAGGAGGAGGTCAGAGAGTGTGGAGGAGGAGGAGGTCAGAGAGTGTGGAGGAGGAGGAGGAGGAGGAGGTCAGAGTGTGTGGAGGAGGAGGAGGTCAGAGAGTGTGGAGGAGGAGGAGGAGGAGGAAGGTCAGAGTGTCTGGAGGAGGAGGAGGTCAGAGAGTGTGGAGGAGGAGGAGGAGGTCAGAGAGTGTGGAGGAGGAGGAGGAGGAGGAGGTCAGAGTGTGTGGAGGAGGAGGAGGTCAGAGTGTGAGGAGGAGGAGGAGGTCAGAGTGTGTAGGAGGAGGAGGAGGGTCAGAGTGGGTGGAGGAGGAGGAGGTCAGAGTGTGAGGAGGAGGAGGTCAGAGAGTGTGGAGGAGGAGGAGGAGGAGGTCAGAGAGTGTGGAGGAGGAGGAGGTCAGAGTGTGAGGAGGAGGAGGAGGTCAGAGTGTGAGGAGGAGGAGGAGGAGGAGGTCAGAGAGTGTGGAGGAGGAGGAGATCAGAGTATGTGGAGGAGGAGGAGGAGGAGGTCAGAGTGTGTGGAGGAGGAGGAGATCAGAGTGTGAGGAGGAGGAGGAGATCAGAGTGTGTGGAGGAGGAGGAGGTCAGAGTGTGTGGAGGAGGAGGTCAGAGTGTGTGGAGGAGGAGGAGGAGGTCAGAGTGTGAGGAGGAGGAGGAGGTCAGAGTGTGAAGAGGAGGAGGAGGAGGATGGTCAGAGTGTGTGGAGGAGGAGGAGGAGGTCAGAGTGTGTGGAGGAGGAGGAGGTCAAGAGTGAGTGTGGAGGAGGAGGGAGGAGGTCAGAGTGTGGAGGAGGAGGAGGAGGTCACAGTGTGTGGAGGAGGAGGAGGAGGTCAGAGTGTGTGGAGGAGGAGGAGGTCAGAGTGTGAGGAGGAGGAGGAGGTCAGAGAGTGTGGAGGAGGAGGAGGAGGAAGGTCAGAGAGTGTGGAGGAGGAGGAGGTCAGAGTGTGAGGAGGAGGAGGAGGTCAGAGTGTGTGGAGGAGGAGGTCAGAGTGTGTGGAGGAGGAGGAGGAGGTCAGAGTGTGTGGAGGAGGAGGAGGTCAGAGTGTGTGGAGGAGGAGGAGGTCAGAGTGTGTGGAGGAGGAGGAGGAGGTCAGAGAGTGTGGATGGAGGAGGAGGTCAGAGTGTGTGGAGGAGGAGGAGGTCAGAGAGTGTGGAGGAGGAGGAGGAGGTCAGAGTTGTGTGGAGGAGGAGGAGGTCAGAGTGTGTGGAGGAGGAGGAGGTCAGAGAGTGTGGAGGAGGAGGAGGTCAGAGAGTGTGGAGGAGGAGGAGGAGGTCAGAGAGTGTGGAGGAGGAGGAGGTCAGAGTGTGTGGAGGAGGAGGAGAGTCAGAGAGTGTGGAGGAGGAGGAGGTCAGAGTGTGTGGAGAGGAGGGAGGAGGTCAGAGAGTGTGGAGGAGGAGGAGGTCAGAGTGTGTGGAGGAGGAGAGGCAGAGAGTGTGAGGAGGAGGAGGAGTCAGAGTGTGTGGAGAGTGAGGAGGTCAGAGTGTGTGGAGGAGGAGGAGGTCAGAGAGTGTGGAGGAGGAGGAGGAGGAGGTCAGAGAGTGTGGAGGAGGAGGAGGTCAGAGTATGTGGAGGTCAGAGAGTGTGGAGGAGGAGGAGGTCAGAGAGTGTGGAGGAGGAGGAGGTCAGAGAGTGTGGAGGAGGAGGAGGTCAGAGTGTGTGGAGGAGGAGGAGGTCAGAGTGTGTGGAGGAGGAGGAGGTCAGAGAGTGTGGAGGAGGAGGAGGAGGTCAGAGTGTGTGGAGGAGGAGGAGGTCAGAGTGTGTGGAGGAGGAGGAGGTGAGAGGTGGAGGAGGAGGAGGTCAGAGTGTGTGGAGGAGGAGGAGGTCAGAGTGTGGAGGAGGAGGAGGTCAGAGAGTGTGGAGGAGGAGGTCAGAGTGTGAGGAGGAGGAGGAGGAGGTCAGAGTGTGTGGAGGAGGAGGAGGTCAGAGTGTGGAGGAGGAGGTCAGAGTGTGGAGGAGGAGGTCAGAGTGTGTGGAGGAGGAGGAGGTCAGAGTGTGGAGGAGGAGGAGGTCAGAGAGTGTGGAGAGGAGGAGGTCAGAGTGTGTGGAGAGGAGGAGGAGGTCAGAGTGTGTGGAGGAGGAGGTCAGAGTGTGTGGAGGAGGAGGAGGAGGTCAGAGTGTGTAGGAGGAGGAGGAGGTCAGAGAGTGTGGAGGAGGAGGAGGTCAGAGTGTGAGGAGGAGGAGGTCAGAGTGTGAGGAGGAGGAGGTCAGAGTGTGTGGAGGAGGAGGAGGTCAGAGAGTGTGGAGGAGGAGGTCAGAGAGTGTGGAGGAGGAGGTCAGAGTGTGGAGGAGGAGGAGGAGGAGGAGGAGGTCAGAGAGTGTGGAGGAGGAGGAGGTCAGAGTGTGTGGAGGAGGAGGAGGTCAGAGAGTGTGGGAGGAGGAGGTCAGAGTGTGTGGAGGAGGAGGAGGTCAGAGAGTGTGAGGAGGAGGAGGAGGTCAGAGAGTGTGGAGGAGGAGGAGGAGGTCAGAGTGTGTGGAGGAGGAGGAGGAGGTCAGAGTGTGGAGGAGGAGGAGGAGGTCAGAGTGTGTGGAGGAGGAGGAGGAGGTCAGAGAGTGTGGAGGAGGAGGAGGAGGTCAGAGAGTGTGGAGGAGGAGGAGGTCAGAGAGTGTGGAGGAGGAGGAGGTCAGAGTGTGTGGAGGAGGAGGAGGTCAGAGAGTGTGGAGGAGGAGGAGGTCAGAGAGTGTGGGAGGAGGAGGAGGTCAGAGGTGTGGAGGAGGAGGAGGTCAGAGTGTGTGGAGGAGGAGGAGGTCAGAGTGTGTGGAGGAGGAGGAGGTCAGAGTGTGTGGAGGAGGAGGTCAGAGGTGTGAGGAGGAGGAGGAGGAGGAGGTCAGAGTGTGTGGAGGAGGAGGAGGTCAGAGTGTGTGGAGGAGGATAAGGGATTGGGGGCGGGGGTTGGGATAAAAAGGGATGTATTTGAGTGTTTGTGAATCACAAATACTGCGAGATTGTTGAGGGAGGTTATGTTTTTTGAGAATGGTCAATATGATTATTGCAAGAAACAAATTTTAAGATATAATGGAGATGCGAGTGGGATGTGAGTGGTGATGTTAAGTGGAGCTGAAACTAGGTGATGAAGTTGTGATGTAACAGTGGTGAAGTAACAGTGGTGATGTAAAGTGGTGATGTAAGTGCGTGAGTAAGTGGTGCAGTAACGAGAGTTGAAGTGGAGGTGATGTCGCAAGTGGTGATGTCATGTGGTGATGTCACCGTGGTATGTCAAAGTTGGTGTGTGTAAAGTTGTGATGTATTGGTGCTGTACCAGTGGTGTGTATGGTGGTGATTTGAAGTGGTGATGACACTGTGGTGGAAGACAAAGAGGTGATGAAAGTTGTGATGTAACGTGTGATGAACAAGTGGTGATGTAATGTTCAGGATGGCAAGGAAATTTGACTGTGGATGGAGCGTGTTTTAATCAGTATATTATGGGAAAATGGGAAATGGTCTTTGGAAAAAAAGTGGTAAGAGTTTTGGTGTAAAGAGAGAGAAGAGCGAGAAGAGAGAGGGAGGGAGAGAGGGGAGGAGGGAGAGATGGGAGTGAAGGAGAGAGACAGAGGGAGCAGGGGAGAGAGGGAGAAGGGGCCAGATGGAGCAGAGGGACAAGAGAGTGACAGAGAGGAAGAGGGGAGGGGAGTGAGAGAGAAGAGAGAGACGGGAGAGAAGAGGGGAAGAGATAGAAGAGAGAGAGAAGAGAGAGAGAGCGAGAGAAGTCAGCGAAAGAAAGGAGAGAGAAGAGAGAGATGGCAGTGAGGAAGAGAGAGAAGAGGAGGCGGACCGAGAAAGGAGGGGAGAGAAGAGGAGGAGAGTGAGAAGAGAGAGCAGAGAGGAGAGAGAGAGTAATCGAGAGAGAAGAGAGAGAAGCGAGAGAGAGAGAGAAGAGGGAGAGGAAGAGAGAGGTAGAAGGAGGAGCAGAAGAAGAAGAGGGAGACAGACAGAGAGAAGAAAGAGAGAGAGGGAGATCAGAGAGGGGCGGAGACAGAGAGAGAGGCAAAATTGGATAGTTGTGTCATGTTTCTTTTAATTTGTTTGCTGAATGGTGTATATAGATAAATGTGCTGGATGTGTGAAAGGTGTATATAGATAATGTGTTGGTGTGTGAAAGGTGTATTATGTAAATGTGTTGGCTGAGATGAAAGGGGCTTATTGATAATGGCTAGCTGTGTGAAGGTGCATATATAGATAAAGTGTTGGGTGTGTGAAGGAGTTTAAGATAATGTGCTTGTTGTAGTGAATGGTGTTATATAGATATATGGGATGGAGTGTGAAAGGTGTTAAAGATAAAATGAGTTTGGCTGTGTGAAAGGTGTATATATAATGTGTTGGCTGTGTGAAAGGTGTATATAGATAAATTTGTGGCTGTGTGAGGTGTGTTATAGATAATTTGATGGTGGGTGAATGGTGTTCTAGGATAAATGTGTTGGCCTGTGTGAACGGTGTATATAGATAAATGTGTAGGTGGGTGGAGTGAATGGTGTTATATAGAATAAATGTGTTGGTGTGTTGAGGTGTATAAGAAAATGATGTTGGTGTTGAAAGGTGATTAGTATAAATGTGTTGGTGTGTGCAAGGTGTATATAGATAAATGTGTTGGTGTGTGAAAGTGGCTATATGATAAAGGTGGCACGTTTAAGGTAATAGAAAAAATGTGTTTGTGTGAGAACGGGTGTATAAGATAATGTGTTGGGTGTGTGAAGGTGTATATAGTAAATGTGTTGGGGTGAAGGGGTATATAGATATATGTGATTGCTGTGTGAAGGTGACTTTTTGGTTTGTGAGGTGGTTCGATGTGGGGGGAGAGAGCGATGATGGGCTAGTGAGGAGCGAGCTGGAGCAGTTGTTGTGGTGGTTTAGGGCAGACGTGTGTCAGAGGTGACGGCATCGGAGATCAAATCAATTGCAGGTGAGGTATTCACAGATGTATGTATGGTTTACAATGTTATAATTATTTATATTGAGGTGGGTTTGTATTGATCCGTGAAAAGGTGGGAGGGGGCTAATCTTTTGGATTGATATGGGATTGAGTTTATTGAGTATGAGAGCGAGTGAGTGTTAGAATTTAGATTAGCTAGTTTAGTATGCTAGTTTAGATTCTTTGCGTAGGAGGTGGGGAGAAGGGAAAATTTTGCGTCTGACAGTTAAAAAATTCTTTGTGGTTCAGTTTTATATTTGGATGAAAGAAAGTTTTTTATATGATTCTGACAAACTAAATCAGGCAAATTCAGACAAATCTTGTGTCAAGACAGATACAAGTCCGCTCTTGATGGTGGAGGGGATTAAGAGGAAATGGAGCAAGGATATAAGAGTAATGTAGGAATGATCAGGACAGAGTTAAAAGAGTAGAAGAGTAATGTAGGAAATGATATGGAAGAGTTTACATTTTAAGGAAGACGGAACATGTAGGAAAATGTTATGGACAGAGTATCAATGGTAAGAAGAGTAATGGTGAATGATTTGGAGAGTTAAAATGGTAAGCGAGTACATGTGGAAAAGATATGGCAGAGTTTAAATCGGAAGAAGATGTAATGTAGGAAAAGATTAGGAGATTTTAAATGGTAAGAAGGAACAGTAGGAAATGATATGGACGAGTTATTAACTGGTAAGAAGCGTAATGTAGGAATGATATGGAAGGAGTTAAATGGTAAGACAGAGTATGTGGAAATGATAGGAAGCGTTTAAATGGTAAGAGTAGTAATGTAGGAAATGATTGGGACGAGTGGGTTACATGGTAAGAAGAGTAATGTGGAATGCTTATGGAGAGTTTAATGGTAGACAGAGAATGTGGAATATGACATGGAAGGTATAAATGGTAAGAAAGACGTATGTAGGAAATGTTATGGCAGGTTTAAATGGTAAGAGAGTACATGTAGGAAGATATTGAAGAGTTTAATGGAGACAGAGTAATGTAGGAATGATAGGAACAGCGTTAACTTGGTAAGACCGAGTATGTAGGAAATGTTAAGGACAGAGTTTAACATTGTAAGAAGATTATGAGGAAATGATGAGGTTTACAATTGTAAGATGATAATGTAGGAATGATAAGGACAGAGTTTTCAATGTTAAGAAGAGTAAGTAGGAATGATTATGGAGAGTTTAATGGTAGCAGAGTAATGTAGGTAATGATATGGTAGGTTTAAATGATAAGACAGAGTAGGGATGTATTTGGACTGGTGTGCGGATATATGGTTATGAAAGTGTTGGTCGGAACAAAATTGAGAGTTTTGGAAGAACTGGGGTAGTATTATTGTGTTAGAAATTGATTTAATAGGTAGATAATGGTTAAGATCAGATGGATATCTCAACTATTGTGTGATAGTCTTTGAACGGAGTCATAAGTTTAATTTGAAAGTTTTACTCTTTTGATAATATATCCAGAATTTGATTGAATTTATGGTGTGTAATTCATGAGTTTGTGGAATTAAAGGTGGACATTTTGAGGTTTCTTTTTGAGAGTGATTTGTATTGTGGTGTGCATTCGGATGTTTTATTTACGTGGCCAAGATTCTTGTGGAGAGTTATGTGGTTATCAGACAGATTGTGGACGTTGTATTGAAAAATGAAAAAATATTAATGTGTGTTTAAATCATGTTTAGAATATGTTATAAAATAAAGATTGAAATCAAAATAGGATTATATTTACCTGAGTAGAGGAGCATATGTTGGGTGGGTTTTAATTCAGAAGAAGAAGTTTTATTGTGTGGTAGGGAAGAGAAAAAACGAAGGAGTGATTATGAGGGGATGGAGCCTAATAGAAGTTCAGTGATGTAGTTGGTTGATCGAAAACCAAGGGCAACTTATGGTTAGCAATTGTAGAATGTTGAGTTTATTCAAAAGTTGTAAAAGTGTATGAAATACAAAACTTAAAAGTGATGAAAATTGCATCTATGATAGCTTGAGAAAGAAATGTTATGAGATATCGTTTTTTTCGTTTAATAACGGCTAATAATTTGGGTGTTTTGGTTAAAAGATCGGGTGGAATTTAAGGAGTTTTGTATAGTGGTGTGTTATGAGAGGAATGGGATGATGAGTTTTGATAGCGTGTTTAATGTTGATTGTGTGCACTTGTTATCAATAGTTTAATAAACGTGATAATGGTTTTTTTTTGGCTTTTTGAGGTGAGGGTTAGGGGCTTTTCGGGTGTTAGGAGTGCGTTCGGGGGGTGTGGGTATGGGCGGGAAAGTGAGAAAGATGAAGGGAACTCAAGTATTGAGTGTTGATTAGAAGGTGAAAACACAGATGAATTGAAATCTGGTTTGAGAAGAAATAGTTGGATGGTAGATGGAATGTAAAGAATATAAAAGCAGATAATTTCTCTAAATTAATCGATATAATTATTTTATCTAATATCTTTTTCATCATAAAGTATTATTCTTATTATAATCTATATATCAGATTATTAAGAATTATGTAATGGTATGAACCAATAATGGTTCTTTTGTTATTTAAACAAGCTTAATGTTTTATAAAGTATACATGATTATTGTTTTATGGTATTAGTAAAAAAAAAATTATAAATTATTTTTTCATCTTGGATTTATTTTATTATTTCTTAGAATAAAATTATTTAAGTTATAAATTATTCTTATGGGGTTTGTCTGTAAATAATGGACAAATGATTATACTTATGTTAATATGTAAAATCTTTGGTTTAAGTATATTTTGGTATTCTATGTATTTTTTTTTTGTTTTTATGTTATTTTGGTTATAAGTTTCTTTCTCTGGTTTTGTTTTTTTGGATCTTATCGTTTTTTCTTTCTTCCTTGGTTTTTGTTCACTTTTTTTGAATTTATGTTTTATCTTCTTCTTGGCTTTAGTTTTCTCTTTTTTATGTTTTTTTGGTTCTTATGTTTTTTTTTCTTTCTTATGTCTCTTTTGTTCTTCTATGTTTTTTTTTTCTTCTTGGCTTTTATCGTTTCTTCTCTTTTGGTTCTTATTGTTCTTTTTCTTTTGGTTCCAATGTTCTTTCTCTTGGTTTTATCGTTTTTTTGTTTATGTTTTTTTTCTTTTGGGTTCTTATGTTTCTTTTTTTGGTTTTTATGTTCTTTTTTATTTCTTGGCTTTTATGTCTTTTTACTTCAGGCTTATCGTTTATATTTTTTTCTGGTTTAATCGTCTTTTCTTTCTATTTTGGTTTAATGTCTTTTTTTTTTTCTCTGGTTTTATCGTCTCCTTTTCTCTTGGCTTGGTGATGGACGTCATGTAAGTAGAGTAATAATTAGCTGTTAAAACTTGGTTTTTATCTTTTGTGATCTGATTGTTTATATTGTGATATATTTTCTTTTGGGGGAAATAGGGAAATTAGTAGTTAGTTGAAAAGGGATTCTGTTGTTGAAAGATGGAATAAATGGAGTAGGGCGTTGAGGTGAGCAGAGGTTGTTTGGGTGTGTTTGGAGTGTGGGAGGTTTATGAGGTATAGGTGGAATTCAATATTTTTAAAAAGTGTGCAAATGTTAGAAACTGAAATGAGGTACTTCATTTGAAGTGAGGTTTTATTTAAATGAAATTTGAAGATTTCCATGGGACAAGACATGTAGTTGATTTTAAGTTTTTTTTATTGTATGGAAATTTTTAAGGTCTTATTTCTTTGTTGTTGTTGTGAGAGAGCTTAAAAGAGATTTGGTGGGACGATAACAAATGAGAGAGAGAGAGAGAGAGAGACCAGAGAGAGACCAGAGAGAGACCAGAGTAGAGACCAGGAAGAGCCCTAGAATGTGAGTGAAGGATACTTCCACTCCACCAGACTGATGCAGGCTCTGCGCAGAGGGTTGTTGAGCGTGAGGCAGAAGAGAGCGCGAGGAGGACGCCCGCTGGACGAGCCGCCCTGCTTCTTACTCTTGGCATACTGCTGCCTCTTCCTCTGGGCCAGGGCTCCAGCTGAGGGGGGGCCAGGAGGGGCTGCAGGGGGGGGGCCTGGGGGGGCCACGGGGGGACCACTCATCTCCTCCTGGATCAAAACAACAGAGTATGAGCAGAGGAAGAGGAAAACAAGGAAGGGATGTGAGAGAGCAGAGAGGGAGAGAGAGGGGGGAGAGCAGAGAGAGGGAGAGAGAAGGATAGAGAGGGGGGAGAGCAGAGAGAGGGAGAGAGAGGGATAGAGAGGGGGGAGAGCAGAGAGAGGGAGAGAGAGGGATAGAGAAGGATAGAGAGGGGGGAGAGCAGAGAGAGGGAGAGAGAGGGATAGAGAAGGGGGAGAGCAGAGAGAGGGAGAGAGAAGGATAGAGAGGGGGGAGAGCAGAGAGAGGGAGAGAGAGGGATAGAGAAGGATAGAGAGGGGGGAGAGCAGAGAGAGGGAGAGAGAAGGATAGAGAAGGGGGAGAGCAGAGAGAGGGAGAGAAGGGGGAGAGCAGAGAGAGGGAGAGAGAGGGGGGAGAGCAGAGAGAGGGAGAGGGAGAGAGAGGGATAGAGAGGGGGGAGAGCAGAGAGGGAGCAGAGAGAGCGAGACCATAGACCAGAGAGAGAGCAGAGAGAGACCAGAGAGAGAGAGACCATAGGCCAGAGAGAGACCAGAGACAGAGCAGAGAGAGAGAGACCATAGACCAGAGAGAGAGCAGAGAGCGAGAGACCATAGACCAGAGAGAGAGACCATAGACCAGAGAGAGAGCAGAGAGAGATAAATGAATCCTCTCCTCTCTGTGGTGTACCTTTGTAGTTGGAGTGTATTAGCAAAACAAATCAGCTGTTAGCATAGCATTAGCATCCAATTAGCTTCCCTTGTCATAGAGTCACAACAAGCAGAGGCTCAGTCCACATTAAAGATAGACCACTTCTCACCGTGGCGTCCTGGGCGTGGCGAGCGGCGCTGATGGCGGCGTGCCAGGCCAGGACCGGGCTGAGGCCAGAGTCCGGCAGGGTGTGGTGAGGGAGCAGACCCCGGCAGGAGCCCACAGGACGGCCCGAGCTGGAGGGGGGCTGCAGGGAGTCCCGCCTCTGCAGGGGGGGGCCGAGGGGGGGGCAGGCATCAGAGGGGGGAGGGGCGTGTCTGAGGCCCGCATACTGCACCCCTGCAACGACACAGACCAGAGTGTGACATCACCACCGTGTGACATCACCACCGTGTGACATCACCACCGTGTGACATCACCAACGCGTGACATCACCACAGTGTGACATCACCACCGTGTGACATCACCACCGTGTGACATCACCAACGCGTGACATCACCACAGTGTGACATCACCACAGTGTGACATCACCACAGTGTGACATCACCACAGTGTGACATCACCACCGTGTGACATCACCAACGCGTGACATCACCACAGTGTGACATCACCACAGTGTGACATCACCACAGTGTGACATCACCACAGTGTGACATCACCACCGTGTGACATCACCAACGTGTGACATCACCACAGTGTGACATCACCACAGTGTGACATCACCACCGTGTGACATCACCACCGTGTGACATCACCAACGCGTGACATCACCACAGTGTGACATCACCACCGTGTGACATCACCACCGTGTGACATCACCAACGCGTGACATCACCACAGTGTGACATCACCACAGTGTGACATCACCACAGTGTGACATCACCACAGTGTGACATCACCACCGTGTGACATCACCAACGCGTGACATCACCACAGTGTGACATCACCACAGTGTGACATCACCACAGTGTGACATCACCACAGTGTGACATCACCACCGTGTGACATCACCAACGTGTGACATCACCACAGTGTGACATCACCACAGTGTGACATCACCACCGTGTGACATCACCACCGTGTGACATCACCACAGTGTGAGCCTTAATGTAAGATAAGAGTTCCTTTATTCGTCCCACAGTGGGGAAATGTCGTTGTTGCAGCGCACAGACAGGACAGTAATAAGAGCACAGCACTATGTACATATACATACTGTATATAGACACACTTTCGAGGGCCCCTCCCCGCCTTGAGCCCTGGGTACTCGACAGAGGCGTCCCGTGCCAACAGCAGGCAGCTGCCTGGGGCCCCCAAACCGGCAGGGGGCCCCCGAGGGCCGACTGATTTGACACAAGCGGTCGACTTGTACTGACTACAACAGCTACCTACAGAGACGAGTTGGCGGTTAAAACTTTTCATCTGATGCAAAACTTGCCACGTTTTTCATTAACATTTAAAAAGCCTTTCTGGGACGAGGGATATTGAATGGAATTGTGGTCTAGTGGTTAAGATGCAGCGCTGGCAAAGTGGAAGTTCAGGATCAAATCTGGATAGGAGCAGTATTTTGGATTAAACTATATATTATATGACAGATTGCTCAATAACAGTAGAAGGGGAAAACAAGCCGTTTTTTGCTGATTAAAACTAAGAGCCTAATCTTTAATTTAGACTATATAAACACTGAGGGCCAAATGAAAGATTAGATTTTGTAGTGAAGAAGATGAGCCAAGTCTGGGATCGTGTCTTTCATTCAGACAGAAGACATGTTTTATTGTCAATGGTAGAGACAGCACGAACACGAACAACAGAATGCAAGTGTATTACACAGAGCGTTGGCATGGAGACCTCCAATCAGCAGCTGCCACAGTGCCATGTAGCTTGGCCTTCAGATAGACAAAACAAAGGAAAAGTACTGGCTTCTGCACATTGATAGAATGATGAGTTTAACTTTAACAAAAGTTGCTTAAAAGTGTTATGAAATCTCACAGTAGGATTAATACACTTTGGTAGGTAGTTTTTGTGATTAATTACACTATAACATGAGTGTAATGAACAAACGTATTATTTCTCATTGCTTTGTGTCACGATAAGGACAGAAGTATTCACAATGTTCTGTGGTAGACTGCACCAGGCCGGCCCCAGGTCTATCCATTTATTGTTAAAAATAAGAAATTATCTACATTTAATTTATATTAATGTCATGTCATTTTCTACCCCTTTATTAATCCATTTCTGGGTCTCCTTGCACCAGTCCCTCTGATCCTCCTGCAGGAGGTGGGTCCACAGGAGGACTAGATGGCCTTGGTCTTTCAGTGGGGGCTTCAGGCAGTGTGGGGTTAAGTGTCTTGCCCAAGGACACAACGACAGCAGACATCAGTGGGAGCAGGTGACAATTTAATTTATAATAATGTAAACAAGTAATAGATATTGCATTTTATCTTATTATCAAATATATATTTATCCCTACTGTAATATGAACCTTTTTATGTGGTTATGTGGTCGGTATTGGGGGCCCCAAGGACTCTGTTGCCTGGGGCCCCGGGGTACCCTTGGAGCGCCACTGGTACTCGGTACCATTAACCCTCCCCAGTCCAACGCCTGTGCCAGAGAGGACCAGACCAAGACCAGAGAGAGACCAGAGACAGAGACCATGAGAGGCAGTATAGTGTGCTCAGAGAGACAGACGCTGTATTTCACACAAATACTATCAGTGACTTTGTTTTGAGTTGTCCCAGTCCTGACCTACATCCACAGCCAATCAGCTCTCACTCTGTACCATGTGTGTGTGGACCATAGACTGTGTGGACCAATCACATGTCAGCTTGTAGAGAGAGTCAAAGATTACACAGGCCCAGTGAACACACCAGGTTTAAGCCCGAGCAGAAGAGCCACTAAACAGATGTTAACAACGGCTGGAATTAGAGAAAATGCTTCATGGTTTGACTCTAGTCCGGAACCAGCCAATTTATGTCACCTGGTGTTAAAGCTCGGGTGCGTAACTTTCAGACCGCACCAATACAACTTTGACACGAGTAACTGGCACTAAAACAGTTTGTTTACATCACTAAACCAGAGAGAGACCAGAGAAAGACTAGAGAGACCAGAGAAAGACCAGAGAGACCAGAGAAAGACCAGAGAAAGACCAGAGAGAGACCAGAGAGAGACCAGAGAGAGAGACCAGAGAGAGACCAGACCAGAGAGAGACCAGAGAGAGAGACCAGAGAGAGAGAGACCAGAGAAAGACCAGAGAAAGACCAGAGAGAGACCAGAGAGAGACCAGAGAGAGAGACCAGAGAGACCAGAGAGAGAGAGACCAGAGAAAGACCAGAGAAAGACCAGAGAGAGACCAGAGAGAGACCAGAGAGAGAGACCAGAGAGAGAGAGACCAGAGAGAGACCAGAGAGACCAGAGAAAGACCAGAGAAAGACCAGAGAGAGACCAGAGAGAGACCAGAGAGACCAGAGAAAGACCAGAGAGAGACCAGAGAGAGACCAGAGGAGAGACCAGAGAGAGACCAGAGAGACCAGAGAAAGACCAGAGAAAGACCAGAGAGAGACCAGAGAGAGACCAGAGAGACCAGAGAAAGACCAGAGAGAGACCAGAGAGAGACCAGAGAGAGACCAGAGAGAGACCAGAGAGAGAGACCAGAGAGAGACCAGAGAGAGACCAGAGAGAAAGACCAGAGAGAGACCAGAGAGAGACCAGAGAAAGACCAGAGAGAGACTAGAGAGACCAGAGAGAGATTAGAGGGAGACCAGAGAAAGAGACCAGAGAGAGACCAGAGAGACCAGAATGACCAGAGAGAGAGACCAGAGAGAGACCAGAGAGAGACCAGAGAGGGACCAGAATGACCAGAGAGAGACCAGAGAGAGACTAGAGAGAGACCAGAGAGAGACCAGAGAGAGAGACCAGAGAGAGACTAGAGAGAGACCAGAGAGAGACTAGAGAGAGACCAGAGAGAGACCAGAGAGGGACCAGAATGACCAGAGAGAGACCAGAGAGAGACTAGAGAGAGACCAGAGAGAGACCAGAGAGAGAGACCAGAGAGAGACTAGAGAGAGACTAGAGAGAGACCAGAGAGAGACCAGAGAGAGACCAGAGAGAGACCAGAGAGAGACCAGAGACCAGAGAGAGACTAGCGAAACCAGAAAGAGACCAGAGAGGGACCAGAATGACCAGAGAGAGACCAGAGAGAGAGCAGAGAGAGACCAGAGAGAGAGCAGAGAGAGACCAGAGAGAGACCAAAGAGAGACCAGAGAGAGACCAGAGAGAGACCAGAGAGAGACCAGAGAGACCAGAGAGAGACCAGAGAGAGTTGACTGTAATGTATCACTAAAGTCCTACAACTCCCATCCTACAAAACAAGTCCAATCCCACAGGGACTAAAACAAGTTCAAATCCACGCGTAAAACTCCCCCACTGCGAGCGCCACGGACCCGGGACCGACCCCACCGCGGACCCAGACCCCCCCACCGCGGGAGCTACCTTCAGGCTGCTCCTCCGGTCCTCGCATCCTCGCATCCACACGGACCCCCGGGAGAACCACATCCAAGAGGCGGCGTCAGAGAGACAGATTGATGCCGATGGACGGAGCTGTGCCCACGGGAGAGACCAGGCCCATGCTCGGCTCCAGAGTGCAGCGTGAGGGCGGTGGATGAGGGCGGTGTGGATGAGGACCGTGTGGAGGGTGAGGGGGTGAGGGGGGTGAGGCGGAGCCGAGTCCAGTGCGCGCGGAGGAGGACCGAGAGACGCGCGTAAAACGTGTTTAGCTCCGGAACTGGTTAAAGTGAACGCGATTAAAGCCTGGGTACGTAACTTTAGTCTCATATGTCACGCATGTTTGCTGTCTTCATCCTACAGAACACATGTGAGCCCTGAGAGTCACTGTTTGACAGTGTTAGGCGGTCTCTCTCTCTTTCTAGTCTCTCCCTTATGTTATGGTCTCTCTCTGCTCTTTTAAATCTCTGTCTCTGTTCTCTCTCTTGTGTCTCTATGGTCTCTCTCTGGTCTCTCTCTCTCTCTCTCCTTGGTCTCTTTTTCTGTCTCTTTAGTCTCTCTCTGGTCTCTCTCTTTCTTGTCTCTGGTCTCTTTATGGTCTCTCTCTGGTCTCTTTCTGGTCTCTCTCTCTGGTCTCTCTCTGATCTCTCTCTCTGGTCTCTCTCTCTGGTCTCTGTCTGGTTTGTCTCTGGTCTCTCTGGTCTCTGGTCTCTCTCTTTCTTGTCTCTGGTCTCTCTCTGGTCTCTCTCTCTGGTCTCTCTCTCTGGTCTCTGTCTGGTTTGTCTCTGGTCTCTCTGGTCTCTGGTCTCTCTCTGGTCTCTCTCTCTGGTCTCTCTCTGGTCTCTCTCTGGTCTCTCTCTGGTCTCTCTCTCTGGTCTCTCTCTGGTCTCTCTCTGGTCTCTCTCTGGTCTCTCTCTGGTCTCTCTCTGGTCTCTCTCTGATCTCTCTCTGGTCTCTCTCTCTGGTCTCTCTCTCTGGTCTCTCTCTCTGGTCTCTCTCTGGTCTCTCTCTGGTCTCTCTCTCTGGTCTCTCTCTCTGGTCTCTCTCTCTGGTCTCTCTCTGGTCTCTCTCTCTGGTCTCTCTCTCTGGTCTCTCTCTGGTCTCTCTCTGGTCTCTCTCTCTCTGGTCTCTCTCTGGTCTCTCTCTCTGGTCTCTCTCTGGTCTCTCTCTGGTCTCTCTCTCTGGTCTCTCTCTCTGGTCTATCTCTGGTCTCTCTCTGGTCTCTCTCTGGTCTCTCTCTCTGGTCTCTCTCTCTGGTCTCTCTCTGGTCTCTCTCTCTGGTCTATCTCTGGTCTCTCTCTGGTCTCTCTAGTCTCTGGTCTCTCCCCGTGAATGAAGGCATCTGATTGGTCAAGCCTTGTATGGCTCATATCTGGATTTTCAAAGCCAGGATCACATAAACCACAGATTTAAGCCCAAAATGGTGAGTGTGACTCAAACAGCTCCAGGAGTTCACTTTGACATGAGGTCAGTAGGAGCAGGGCAAAACTTCACCCTGAGCACTTCCCTTCAGGGCAAAACTTCACCCTGAGCACTTCCCTTCAGAGCAAAACTTCACCCTGAGCACTTCCCTTCAGGGTTCATTGAGCTAGACTTAGAGGGATAGCGTTGTCCATCTGTGTACAGTCTATGATTCCAATATTCAGGTGTTGGATGGCGCCACCTGCAGGTCAAAGCCAGATCCTGGCAGACCTCTGAAGCTAAGCGGGGCAGAGCCTGGTCAGCACTGAGACCGCAGGGAAATTGCACATATTTATATATATTATATATATATATATATATATATATATATATATATATATAATATATAAAATATACACAGTGTACATATAACATATATGGTAGTGACCCACAGAGGGCGCTGTAGAGACTGGAGCTACATCTTCTTTAACAACAACAACACACAGAGAAAGTGCCTCTCCAGCTCAAATCCCAATCCCAATCCTAGTCCACACTCACCTCTGTGGGGTCTGGCCCGGATTATCAGCGGCATGGGGGGTCACCTGGGCGCACGCTGGGGGGCATAGTCCTGCTGTAGACCTGCTTTAGGCCTGCTTTAGTCCGGACCTAGTCCTGTTTGAGTCCTTTTTTAGTCCTGCTTTAGTCCTTTTTTAGTCCTGCTTTAGTCCTTTTTTAGTCCTGCTTTAGTCCTGCTTTAGTCCTGCTTTAGTCCTGCTTTAGTTCTGCCTAACACCTGTTTTAGTCTTGCTTTAGACCTGTTGTAGACCTAGTTAAGACCTGCTTTAGACCTGCTTTTGTCCTGCTTTAGTCCTTCTTTAGTCCTGCCTAACACCTGTTTTAGTCGTGCTTTAGACCTGTTGTAGACCTAGTTAAGACCTGCTTTAGACCTGCTTTTGTCCTCCAAGGGGAGCATGGCAAAGTTCCACATCAGTCCTGCTGTGCTGTAGTCCTGCTTTAGTCCTGCTTTAGTCCTGCTTTAGTCCTGCTTTAGTCCTGCTGTAGTCCTGCTTTAGTCCTGCCTAATACCTGCTTCAGTCTTGCTTTAGACCTGCTGTAGACCTAGTTAAGACCTGCTGTAGTCCTGCTGTAGTCCCCCAAGCATGGCGTGGTCCTGCTTCAGTCCTGCTTTAGTCCGTCTTGAATCCTGCTTCAATCCTGCTTTAGACCTGGTTCATTCCTCCCGTAGTCCTGGATTAGACCTGGATTAGACCTGGTTTGGACCTGGTTTAGACCTGGTTTGGACCTGCTTGAGTCCCGCGTGGTCCTCAGTCTGAGAGCAGTGCTCGGTGGAGGCTGCAGTGATGGGATTACCTGAGCTCCAGTGGGACACAGTGTAATCCCAGGTTATAATCCAGGCCAGGATGGGACAGGTGCAGCATTCTGATCATAAGGACAGTTCCAGAGACTGTCTGCAGATGGACCATGCTAACCTGCTAGCTCCACCAGAGAGGGAAGTGCTCATGGTGAAGTTTGGCTCCAACTCTCTCTGGCTCCTTTTGATTTACATGTGAGAGTAAACTCCTCTGGCTCAGTAACTGTGTCACTCTCACTTTTTAGACTTCTACTTTAAAAGAAGGAGCCAAAGTAATGGCAGCAGCAGTATTAGCAGTAGCAGTAGTAGCAGTAGTAGCAGTAGCAGTAGCAGTAGCAGTAGCAGTAGCAGCACCAGCAGTAGCAGTAGCAGTAGCAGTAGCAGCAGTAGCAGCACCAGCAGTAGCAGTAGCAGTAGCAGTAGTAGCAGTAGCAGTAGCAGTAGTAGCAGCAGTAGCAGTAGCAGCAGTAGCAGTAGCAGTAGCAGTAGCAGTAGCAGCACCAGCAGTAGCAGTAGCAGTAGCAGTAGTAGCAGCAGTAGCAGTAGCAGCAGTAGCAGTAGCAGTAGCAGTAGCAGTAGCAGCAGTAGCAGTAGCAGTAGCAGTAGCAGTAGTAGCAGTATCAGTAGCAGTAGCAGTAGCAGCACCAGCAGTAGCAGTAGCAGTAGCAGTAGCAGTAGCAGTAGCAGCACCAGCAGTAGCAGCAGCAGTAGTAGCAGCAGTAGCAGTAGCAGTAGTAGCAGTATCAGTAGCAGTAGCAGTAGCAGCACCAGCAGTAGCAGCAGCAGTAGTAGCAGCAGTAGCAGTAGCAGCAGCAGCAGTAGCAGTAGCAGTAGCAGTAGCAGCAGTAGCAGTAGCAGCAGTAGCAGTAGCAGTAGTAGCAGTATCAGTAGCAGCAGTAGCAGTAGCAGTAGCAGTAGTAGCAGTAGCAGCAGCAGTAGCAGTAGTAGCAGTAGTAGTAGCAGTAGCAGCAGCAGTAGCAGGGTAGCGGTAGCAGTAGCAGTAGCAGTAGCAGCAGTAGCAGTAGCAGCAGTAGCAGTAGCAGTAGTAGCAGTATCAGTTGTAGCAGTAGCAGTAGCAGTAGCAGCAGCAGCAGCAGCAGCAGTAGCAGTAGCAGTAGTAGCAGTAGCAGTAGCAGTAGCAGCAGCAGTAGCAGGGTAGCGGTAGCAGTAGCAGTAGCAGTAGCAGCAGTAGCAGTAGCAGTAGCAGTAGCAGTAGCAGCACCAGCAGTAGCAGCAGCAGTAGCAGCAGTAGCAGTAGCAGTAGTAGCAGTAGCAGTAGCAGTAGCAGCAGCAGTAGCAGCAGTAGCAGTAGCAGTAGTAGCAGTAGCAGTAGCAGTAGCAGCAGTAGCAGTAGCAGTAGCAGTAGTAGCAGTAGCAGCAGTAGCAGTAGCAGTAGTAGCAGTAGCAGTAGCAGTAGCAGTAGTAGCAGTAGCAGTAGCAGTAGCAGCAGCAGTAGCAGCAGTAGCAGTAGCAGTAGTAGCAGTAGCAGTAGCAGCAGTAGCAGTAGCAGTAGCAGTAGCAGTAGCAGTAGCAGCACCAGCAGTAGCAGTAGCAGTAGCAGCAGTAGCAGTAGCAGTAGCAGCACCAGCAGTAGCAGTAGCAGTAGCAGCAGTAGCAGTAGCAGTAGCAGTAGCAGTAGCAGCAGTAGCAGTAGCAGTAGCAGCAGTAGCAGTAGCAGTAGCAGTAGCAGTAGCAGCAGTAGCAGTAGCAGTAGCAGTAGCAGTAGTAGTAGCAGTAGCAGCAGTAGCAGTAGCAGTAGCAGCAGTAGCGGTAACAGTAGCAGTAGCAGCTGTAGCAGTAGCAGTAGCAGTAGCAGCAGTAGCAGTAGCAGTAGCAGTAGCAGCAGTAGCAGTAGCAGTAGCAGCAGCAGCAGTAGTAGTAGCAGTAGTAGCAGTAGCAGTAGCAGTAGCAGTAGCAGTAGCAGCAGTAGCAGTAGCAGCAGTAGCAGTAGCAGTAGTAGCAGTAGCAGTAGCAGTAGCAGCAGCAGTAGCAGCAGTAGCAGTAGCAGTAGCAGCAGCAGTAGCAGCAGTAGCAGTAGCAGTAGTAGCAGTAGCAGTAGCAGTAGCAGCAGTAGCAGTAGCAGTAAGCAGTAGTAGCAGTAGCAGCAGTAGCAGTAGCAGTAGTAGCAGTAGCAGTAGCAGTAGCAGTAGTAGCAGTAGCAGTAGCAGTAGCAGTAGCAGTAGCAGCAGTAGCAGTAGCAGTAGCAGTAGCAGTAGCAGTAGCAGTAGCAGCAGTAGCAGTAGTACGTACGGCAGGGGTACACACATGTACGGCAGGGGTACACACACGTACGGCAGGGGTACACACATAATGAGGCGCTTCTTCACGGTCGTGTGTTGATATGTTAATGAGCCCTCACCACCACAAACATCCCCTTTAATTGTCCTCTTTGATCTGGGGCTAATTCTGCTCATTACAGCCCAGTGCACAAAGTTAAACATTTGCCTTCCAACTTCCAGAGAGTAGAGGTGGAAATGTTGTGCTCGGATGGAAACAAAAGTTGGTCAATGTTTTTAGGGATCTGAAGATTTCTGTTATAAAACCAAAATGCACTTAAAGAATTAGAAACAATATGCTAATCTTAAATGACATCTACAAAGTGTTTGTGTCCCTAGATTGCAGAGTAATTAACCTTTTGAGTTTTTCCACGATAAAAATTACATCCATCCATCCATTTTCTTCCCCTTAATCCATTTCTGGGTCGGGGGGGTGGCCAGAGCTGCACCCAGTCACAGAGCACCAGCCCCTCACTGATCCTCCTGCAGGTGCTGAGTCCACAGGAGCTGAGATCTTTCAGTGGGAGCTTCAGGCAAAGTGGGGTTAAGTGTCTTGCCCAAGGACACAACGACAGCAGACATCAGTGGGAGTCGTGAAGTGAAGTGAAGCCTTACGGTGGGCTCGAACTAACGACCTTCAGGCTCAAAGGTCAATGGTCTACCAACTGAGCTACTGTCGCCCTCTATAAAAATTACAATGGACATGATATCCATAATATTATTGTTTACATTTTAAAGATTTCTGGTGCATTGTACTGACTGTAATCCACACTATACACATTTAACTACCTTTTTAAATCCCTTATTTATATATTTCTGTACTTTTCTTTCATATTATTAATGTATTTATAGTCTAAATGCCCAAATAAACACTTGACTTGTCCTGTATGGCTGGGGTCAGAAAAGCAGTCAGGATTCCAACATGTTTGACTCCAGTTTATATTGCAAAAAAATATATATGAATCTTACTAAATGTGAAAAATATATAACTGATTTAATTAAATTATATCAGTTATGTGTGTTTTTAGATGTGTCACAGACAGGATTCTGGCTTTTTTAGACCACTAATGCAAGTGACATACAGGCCCTTTAAACTGTTGAAGTCAAATCAATCCATATCATTCTAGACTGTTCTTAAAACTTAGTTAAATAAATGGCCTTTTCCATAATTCTTATCATTTGCAGTGACTGTGTTATAGAGCCATATTGACATGTTCTGCAATTAGTCAATTTGGTGTTTGCAAAGAAAATGGAGACATATGAAGGTAATGTATAAGCTCAAAATTGGTCAATGTTTCTCGGGATCTGGGATTATCTGTCATAAAACCAAAATGCACTCAGAGAATTAATAATATGTTAATCTTAAATGACATCCAGATATTGTATGTGTCCCCAGACTCCAGAACACATTGACCTTTTCTGAACAAAACCATTGTATTTTTCCACAATTAAAAATACAATGGACATGATAGGTTTGCAGTTTCAAGCAGATTGCTGTAATCCGTGCTATACAATACAACATATCACTGATTACGTCACAGTAAAAGTACAACGTTAATTTTGTCTTATGTTTAAGGCTTTGAAGGTTCTTTTAATAAGACAAGACTTATTAAAAAAACCTTCAAAGCCTGATTTCATCACATTATGTCAGTTATGTGTTGTCTGATGTGTCACAGACAGAAAGATTGTGACATACAGTTCCTTTAAAGGTGCACTTTAACAATCCCCGTAGAGCAATTCATCCTCTGCATTTGACCCATCCTGATGCTGCTAAGGCTTACGTCAGGAACAGTGGTCGCCGTAGTAACAGCGCCCGGGACCCCATCTCCAGATGCTGATGCTCGGCTTGGTCAGGACCAGACAACCAACACAAGCACGGGGAGAACATGCAATCTCCACTCAGAAAGACCCCGTTCCGACCTGGGATTCGAACCCAGGACCTTC